CACACACAAGGTACATCATGTCACAAATATGTATGTGTATTTGTTTCATGATCTCATTAACGATAGCCAAATGGCGGCCGCTTTAAGGCCGAAAATGCATTGAAATCGCACATTTTCACCATTCCGGACCCGGATCTCAGTTATGCATGGACGGATTTCATTCAAATTTGGTACATACATTAAACATAATAGGACCTTGATGCACGTCATTTTTTTTTTCGGATCAAGTTCGAAATAGCCGACTGGCGGCCATTTTGTTTTAAAGAATTCAGTTCTGGATCCGTATCCGAGACATGTCTGGATTGATCAAGTTCAAACTTCACACACACAAGGTACATCATGTCACAAATATGTATGTGCATTTGTTTCATGATCTCATTAACGATAGCCAAATGGGGGCCGCTTTAAGGCCGAAAATGCATTGAAATCGCACATTTTCACCATTCCGGACCCGTATCTCAGTTATGCATCGATGGATTTTGTTCAAATTTGGTACATACATTAAACATAATAGGACCTTGATGCACGTCTTTTTTTTTTCGGATCAAGTTCGAAATAGCCGACTGGCGGCCATTTTGTTAATTCAGTTCTGGATTCGTATCCAAGACATGTCTGGATTGATCAAGTTCAAACTTCACACACACATGGTACATCATGTCACAAATAGATATGTGCATTTGTTTCATGATCTGCTTAACAATAGCGGAATGATGGCCATTTTAAGGCCGAAAATGCATCAAAATCACGTATTTTCACAATTCCAGAACCGGATCTCAGTCATGCATGGATGGATTTTGTTCAGATTTAGCACAATGTGTTGTACATATGCAGGTGCATTTCGGTCATGATCTGCTTTGAATGTATATGTCACTCAAATATGAACGGAACGGGGACGTGTCATTGACAATGACTTGTTTTTAATGTATTTAGCAATATATCGATGTAATGACAGCTCCAAAGCTCGCTGCCTTTTTCTTCCGGTCTCCTCGTCTTTCGAACCAACCGTACAGTGGTTTATTCAGAATCTACCAGCATAGAACCCGCATCCGAGATGCTTTGTCGTGGCTACGTGTGGGTTCTGGGTTTTTTTTTGCATGAAAGCGTGTTTTTTTCACTGGAGTTCTGAGGCCTGAGATTTTCTTTCAGAGCCATCAAAATCGCTGACACTGACCGCGTCACAGCAAGGTCGCGCGTCCAGTAAACAAATCGGTTAAAGTGAGTTGCGTGTTTTGCATGAGTGGAAAGTCCTCACGCTCGGCTACCGGTACTTCATGTACTGGGACGTCGAGTAAGAGGCCCGACGGCGCTGATCGGAGGGCATCTCACAGTCTGTTTTTCAGGCGGTGTTTTTTACCCGATTTTACCGGCTGCAGCGAAGCTGTGCCCTGGAGGCTTTCCTCCTATGGGGCCCATTGCGGGTCTCTTTG